GCTGTAACATACTGTATTGCGTATGGGATGTAGGTCACAAAACCACAATACTTCCCATTAGATATATATAAATGAGTAGTTTACAGCACTGAGTACAACCTACGAGAACAACCTACGAGCACAAGCTACTAGGAGGCATAGACTACCGAAGTAGTTTGACAAGCTACAATCTACCAGACAACTATCTTGGCATTTATGCCATAACTATCTTTTGGCTTTTGTGCCTTTAATCTATTTGGAAAACTGTTGTGAGTCATTATTGGACTCACGAACGCTCAAGAATAAACACTCACGGTTCTACTCAGACAGAGGAGATAAGTTTTATTCATACTTATTGATATTATAATTAGGACACTTATCCACTTTAATATTTACGCGTTGGTTAATAAATTGTTTGAAAAATATAACTGGTTCACACTATCTTTGTAGCGTGTGGAAATAGAACCATAATTAATAGTTATTTTTTCAGGACCACGCACGTAACATGCACAATGATCAAAACAACAAAAAGGTGAGCTTGCGGGGATGTGTAATCCATTTTAAAGGTGAAAATGGGCCATTGACTGATTTTACCGAGACATCTTTGAAAAAAGTTTTACATTGTCACAAGCTTTGGTTACTATACAATGGTGAGCAAAAAGACATCGCTGAAAAGAACAAAAATTTGATGAAAAAAATTCAGTCCATGAAAAGTCCTTTGGCTGATTACCGTGGAGAGTTAAAGTACCATAGAAATTGCTAGGCAAAGTTCACCAATGTCGGCCTGATTAGACAGGCTGAAAAAAGAATGAGCAAAAAGTTTGAAGCTTCAGCAGCCACTGTCAAAGAAAAATATATACAAGAAAAAAAGTCGACAGATGTAAATGAGCCTCACACGAAACTGCTACGATCATCCTCGTTTTGTCATGACAGTTCTAAACCTCCGATAAGAACTAAAGAAGTTTTGCCATCAATATGCATAATATGCAAGAAAGAAAAGGTCCTTTGTCACTCAATCGGTAAATAATTTAACAAATAAACCAATATGTTACAGGTATTCCAATACCTGTTTTGTAACATCATGTTCTGTACTTATTCTACCTACAATATGATTTTACTTTTGTTGTCTTACTGATGGTGAGGAATGTCCAATTTTTTACAATTTGGTAAAGATCTTTATTTATTGACAAGAGTTCAGCGATAGTTAATGCTTCAAGGTAAATATAAAATATATTTTTGCTACTATTGTCTTTTTTGCATTTGCTTTGTATTTCTTTCGGTCCTAGGTACACTCTCTTTGCATCTAGCAAGTGTTCGGACGAATGCCTTCACCCGAATGCAGATAGCATGCTTTTGCACATTAAGAGAGCCAACTACCAAGCAGCCATCTGGAAGAATAGTTTGCAATCGCACATTAATGTTCAACCTCCTGTGAGCCATGTATGGCACATGAAAAATGGTCAGTTAGAGATTCTTTGGATGACTGGACCATCTGCTCCAGATACACTTATTGAGTTCGTGACATGCAAGGCTAAAGCTGGTTGCAAGAATTTTCGATGCTCGTGCGTGAAGTCTGGTTTGCAATGTACTGACATTTGTGGTTGTTCTGACTGCAGTAACTACGCCTCTGAAGATGACGACGATTCGCAATTCAATTTAAAGAATTGTTTTTTCATTTTTTAGTCTTTTTGGCCATCAAGCAGCTATGGAAGATCAATAGCTAAACATATCATTTCAAATTAACTTAGAAAGATTGATCCTTAATCATTATTTAGCACCGTTCTTTTGAATATGAGCCAGCAAATTTTAGCGAATTTCACACAAAACAATATGGCGGATATAGAAAATAAATGTCGAATTTTTGATGGCTCTAGCTCTCTTGATTGCAAGTTTTCGGGATGTAAACAGGCAGATTTATGTTAAGTGAGTACATATCAGTACATCTATGTTGTTTTTACTTAGTCATGAATTTCTGCATCTCAACCTGAACAATAATCCACCATAGCTGTTTTTACGGCCTATACACGACCATAGCTGTTTTTACGACAGCTTCGTTTGTACATACTGTGGCAAACTCTTCCTCTTGTGTGATGCAAATATGATCGCCATGTATCAGAGGATCAGTGTTGCTTACCTCTTGGCAACATATACTTTCCCGTCCTGTACTCATGACCACACAAAAGCCACACTTGCACCTAAAAGATAAAAACATTCTTTTTACTTTGGGAAAAACAATGAAGCAACAATAAAATGCAACTAACCATTCAACATTTCCAATTCTGTGAATGTATTCATCTTCGCTTTCCGATGACGAAGAATTGTCATTACTATGACCACCTTGCGCGTTGGCCAAAGGCTGAAACATGTAAGGTTGTACCTCATTGTTATTGACGACAATATCATAATCGGCTTCTTGTTCAGAAGAATCCATTAATTTTTGTTAAATAAAAAACAGTAATAGCAAACTACCGAAAGCCGTGCAAGTCTTAGAACGATATAAGAACGAAGCTTGTTTATGTCAACTATTACGTCACTCTCCCAGTTCCCAGACTTAAAGTGCCTATGACATGTTTTCAAAAACGCAATATTATAATAGTTTAGATGATTTTAAGAACATTTGCAATATATTTTATAATTGAAAAATTTCATCTTCGTGAATTTTGGATGGCTCTAAGTTGGTTATTTATTGCTTGTCCGTGATGTCAAAAGACCTAGGGCGAGAACTTGGAAAAACGCCGGATCTGACGTCACATCGGGAACACGCTTTTCCCGAACAAAGAAAACACATTATAGTATATAATACTACGGATTGAAATTTATTACAACTTGAGTCGAACAAAAGTGTTTTAAATTGTGCATCAGGAATATTAAAATGGCCTCGAGCTCTTCTGATTCCATTGAAACACAAAATGAATCAGATAATGATTCAATGTTAAACTACATGATGGAATCTGAAGAAAGTTTGATTACCACGGATAATCAAAGTGACTCTCTTGATGTCTCTGAACAGTCTATTGAATCACAAATGCTGCCTTATCAAGATGAACCTGTTGCTGATGAAGAATGGGTTCAAAATTATCATGACGGATTACGTGAACGTCAAAATTTGTTGGAAACTCTGCGTAGTAGATTCAACAATCGTGTGACTTTGGAGCAGTGGTGAGTGTATTTATTCCTTTTTAAAATATTTACAAGTTACGGGCCATAATTCACTTCACACAAAGTCAGCGATTATTGTGCTGCGTTTTTTGTTAGCATTGTCAATTTAAACTAGTAGTTATATTGCAACATGAACAAATGCTACTTTGTATTTGTAGGTGCATTTGTGGTAATTGCAGAACTAATCTGCTTCAAAATGAGAAAGAAAGTCAATGTTGCCAAGAGCTCGACGAATGCATAGAGTCCTTAAAGAATGAAATGGTGCTGGATGAATTGAAAATTGTCCCAAAATGCATTACACTTCATCCAGCTTTCAATTCAGTGTGTCTGGATATTTGGTCATTAAGAATGTCAGGCCCAAAATTCAGAAAAATAGATGGAAGAAAATATGTGAAGCATGATGATGAGAACAGGTACATACCTGTATGCTTTCATTTAGTTCAATTAAATTGTTTCATGTAATAACTTATGACAAAGATTTATTTTGCAAATTTAGATATTTGAGAAGTGTTGCATATCGAGAATTTACCCAGCTGGTGCATGGCTACTTAGGGAATAAACGGATACCACTACCTGCTTGTGCCTATCATGCAATAAGGACTCGATTTGTGGGAAAAGATTTTCAGGGTTATGATGATGAAGAATTTGAGGATAAATAATTTACTACTTATATGCCAATGATTCACCCTCATTTTGATTCTTGTTTTGTGGACAGTCCAGGACCTGTTGGTGACCTTTCATTGGTTTCCCACAAGTTCGACAGTGTGGACGAGTTCTTGTTATATTAATGGTATTTTCTGACATTGTTAATGGGACTAAAATATTATAATTTTGAGATTGTAATATTAGACATCATAACTGTAAGTAATTAATAAAGTATGTTTTAGTCATACCGTTGGTGGGTGGTACATTGTCAACTACCATTTTTTGACGATTGATCTTTTTTTTAATTGCCTCTGCTTTTGATTGTCTAACAAACATGGTATGCATTGGTGCAGGAGACATATTTGACAGTTCTTCAGATGCCTTTTGAAATTGTTCTTTGGTAGCACTCATCATTGTTTTATAAAGTTCATTAATATAATCTAGACAAAGATGCACAATTTTTGGAACAGAAATTGCATTTTTAACACCTCTAAAACTCTACTACAACTGTATTTATTTACTTGAGTAGTATTTGAAATCATATCTCACCAAAATTTTGATGAACTCTGACACTTCTCACAGTAGCTTCACCATTTTTAAATTTTGGATATACCACTTTAAGTTGTTTCTTGCCTTTCATCACCAGCTCATCCCTCCTCAAGTTATCATTGAAATGCAAAACAGCCAAAATGTGTCTAGACAGGAAAAACTCAAAGAATAAAGTTATGTATTTACCATTTATGTACTCTTAATTTATTTGCATACCTGCAATACATTCCTGCAAATGAGTATGAAATCATTTTTTGGAGAGAAATGGTTTAACACTGAGTGAAAACCTTCCAAGCAGCTGGTCTGTAAAAGTGGTGATGCTTGAGAAATACCCTTTTTTTAGCGTGCTATTCAATAGAGCAGCTTGTGTTTTCTCATACACAACTGATTCTAGAAAATTTATACAAAAACATTTTGCATTAAGATGTCAAAAGCATTTTAAGCAGTGATCATGTTCATTGTTTTAAGGTCATACCTTTATCAAGCCACATCCTTTCCTCAATGTCATCACTATGAGCACATGCATTAAAATTGGATTGAGAAATTGAATGAACATTGGCCATATGTTCCAAGAATGATGAAAACTTAGCCCATATGACCTGTCCATTACCATCTTCCGTTGACATTGCACTCCAATACAAATGATTCACGATGGCTTCACCCAAGGAAGGAGCTCCTGACAACCTTTTTCTGTCCCAATTTTTTAAGAATTTTATTGACTTCTGATTTAAAACAAGAAAAAATGCACATATCTTTAAAGCTAAGCCAGACACATAAAATTCTAAACACAGTTATTACTTACTTTGCCAAGTGCCACAAGTCAAAGTAGTGGGTTATTTTAGGAAGCTTCTCCTTCATGTGTTTTGAAATAGAAGTGTGACGATCTGAAATAAAGGTTGACACACTCAAACCATCCTGTAAAAGCCCTTCCAATGCCTTTGTGAATGCCAGATACTCCATTGCTGGGCTGCTACCAGCTTCATTTCTCTAAGAGTCGTAAAAAATTAAACAATATAAAAAAATGATCAGTGCTTTGGAAAAGGTATTCTTAAATTACTTTTACATACCTGCACTAAACAAAAATCTACAATTTTACTTATGGGTCCATTGCAGCAGAACATACTGTATGCACAGTATTTTGCACTATGGCCCATACTGTCATGGCCCATCACCAGCAAGAACTATGTCTTGCATTTTCTTTAATGTTGAATTCAATGATTCTTTGTACTTTTCCAATGTAAATGAATGCTTGGAAACAGCTTGGTCTGAAAAAATTAGAAACCTATGAAAAAATTAATCCTAGAAAAAGCACATGTTCATTAACAAACAATGGATGCAAATTTTTGCATGCATATTTGAAAAAACTGCACACATACATTTTGATGTCGGAAAAAAGATCGCAATGAAATGCACCGCAATCCCATGTGCTGGAATATTTTTAAAGTTTTGCTGGCAGATCCACCTCCACTCAAAATTCCAAATGAAAGAAGTAGGTTTCCAGCAGGAATTGTTGACGTTGCAATCCTAATGTTGGGTTGGCTAGACCAAATACTACTCCGTTGTTTGCAATGGACATTGTTGCAAGTTGTCTCTACTTGAATCATTGTTCCAAATTCTTTCATTTCCATAAGGACGTCAGGCACTTTACAGGATGGGCAAACCTCAAACAGTTTCATTAGTTGTGACAGAAAAACTATGTATTTTGGTTGCTTTCTTAGGTTGCTATCACTTGCTGCATAAACACTGCAACAGAAACAACCCTTATCATATATCAATGAGGACTGCTATCTAGCATGTAGTAACATAAAGAGTTTTACCATTTTCCATCTGAATAATCTGTATCACTGCCTTCTTCACTTGATGTTACATTTGCTGAAAGTTCATCCTCAGTTTCCTCATCTGTATTGGAATCTTGTGATTCTTGATCCCCAGAGTCACTATCCATGTGCTCCGCATTATCTTCATCAATTATATCAGAATGATGAGCAGCATCATAGATGTTATTTTCTGGAACATGATCTGAAAACATAACTTAATTCGCCAATTTACATAATCATTTGAGTTTATATATTAGCTCATTAAATTTGATCAGTATTCCCTAACTGATACAATTTATTATATTTTTCACCTAATATTGATTACATTATACAATAGCATACCAAATCTCATTTGAGCTTTATAAAACAGCATCTTTCTCTTCATTTGGAGCAGCTTGCTAGTCAGTTTCACACAGTTTTGACATTTCAGTGGCAATGTCTGGATCCACTAGTCATTTGCATTTACCCACTCCTTCAAATAAACCACACTTTCTTAATTTTAAAGTACAAGGTGTATAATAATATTTTTACAAAATACTTTTAGTTTGAATATTAAATATTTCTTAAAAGGGGAACTTGAATTTACACTTGTGGTAAACTGCTCTAATGAAACAGCATTGATAATAGCCCAATCAGTGTATTTGCTAAGCAGTTATTAATGTAGGGTAAATTGTTCGGCAAAGAAATATTGTCATTGTTGGAAGACGTAACTCTATTCATTTCAATTTCATTCAAAGTGAGCTAATCAAACTTACATGTGCTTATTTCTCAGGATCTTTGAGTGGTCCATGAAAACTGTTATCAGTTTCATCAATGAAAGTCATAGTGTCTGTTTGCATACATTCATCTGTATTTTCAGCAGATACATTATTTAAAGAAGTGCAAGGCTGAGAAGATTCTATATTTTGGAAATTGCTTCCTTCTTGACTCACGCTGCACTCTTCGTAATTTGCACACCGAGCGTGAAATACCTATATCAATAGTTTTGTGAAATTACTTCCTAAGTTAGCAACACATAAATGAAAGGAGAACCTTAAATAGATTTTTTTATATGTAAAACTCACAATGCGACGACGATCTCGTTCTGATAACACGGTTTCTGTTTCATTAAGCTTTGAAGGCCAGACACATATGCCAATATTATCCCTCTTAAGTGTGGGAGCTACAAGCAGTGGTGTATCCGAATTACTCACTCCCATCTCACCAGTAAAGCGACACACAAAGTCATCCTCTTTAAAATGCTTAGAGCAAACTTCGGAAGACGCAGAAGGTACCCAATTTTTCGTTTTCTTTTGACAAAATCAACCCAAGCTTTTCTACGTTTCTTAGCTTCTGGTCTGGTATCATTCACAAATGGGATTCTATGGAGAGCAATCCCCTTCTTCGAATTTGATGTGTTTGAACATCCAAACACGACGCATCTGTGTGGCATCTTACCGAAAATTTTTAGCAAACTTCTTAAAAATATATCTTTTAGTGTTTGCTATAATACTAACGTTATAGAATAGCAGAAATGCGTTCCCGATGTGACGTCACACTGGCCATTTGTCATTATTAATTACCAGTCTTTTTACTCTCACGGTCAATATGAAGAAATGTTCAAAATCCGCAACTTTAAGGTGCTCAAACTCCACAAAGATGAAATTTTTCAATTATAAAATATATTGCAAATGTTCTTGAAATCATCTAAACTATTATAATATCATCGTTTCGAAAACATGTCATAGGCACTTTAAACAATCTCCGGCGTTTTAGCAATGGTCATCGAATATCGTGTTTTTACCATTGAGTTCTATAATAAATATTTTGCGGACGACTTTGAAACTTGGTACGTCTTATTTTCACGCTATAGGCATTACAATAAAATAAAGTTGTCTTCTAGCTTGCATGTGTCCTTTAATTAAGACATTCTTTTATCATTTTTATAATGCTTCTTCTAACAATTCTTTCAGAATTGTTCTTCATTTTGCTTAATTAAATCATTATTTGCTCTTGGAGTTTGTGTTAATCAACAGCAACCTTGCTTTCCTCATATATGTTGTGCAGAATGAAGCATGTATACATCACTGTAGGTGCAGCCTCAAGTTTGAAATCAACCATTTTTGTTAAGAAACCGATTTTGCTTTTAAACGCCTAAGACACATTCTATTCGATTCCTAGCGACTCTTAAATTGTTTTTAAAAATCACTTCAGCTTTCCATTCACACGATATATAGTCCTTAATACAACAGGTCGTTAAAGGGTAAGCTGGATCACCAATAAAGGTAGTTAGGGACCTTGGTGCCTCCACAAGATAATGTCTACAATGTAGGTCACAAAACCACAATACTTCCCATTAGATATTATATATATATATGAGTAGTTTAAACCACTGAGGACAACCTACGAGGAGACAAACTTAGGAGGCATAGCTTACCGAGGCAGGTTGACAAGCTACAATCTACTAGACGACTATCTTGGCTTTTGTGCCATAACTATCTTTTGGCTTCTGTGCCTTTAATCTATTTGAAAACTATTGTGAGTCATTGTTCGATTCTAGAACGCTCAAGAATAAGGACTCGTACTCAGACAGAGGAGATAAGTTGCCCTAATAAGACTTCTTAATATTATTAACAATAAACTTATATATTAGGCCTTGATAAATAAATTTTTTGAGCAATATAACTGGTTCACACTATTTTTATTGCATGTGGAAATAGAACAAAAATTAATAGTTTTTCTTTCGAGACGGCGCACATAACACACGTCACAATGCAATCAGTTATGTACTTGATCTCGAACTATATTATGAAGTTGTTAAGTTAGTGAGGTGTTTCGTAATTTCATGATGTGCTTTTGCTGGCTCAATTATAACCAGATTGAAGGCGAAGAAACATAGCATTACAAACACACTACAGGATCATTCGATCAAGTGGAATGCTAATTTTAATAATTACATGATTGGCAGATATGAATCGTATGATGCAGTGGCCCATATCTGCAATTCAAAAATTATTTTGCCAATGCACAAACATTCCCTTAAATTCAAAAACAATGTTTTTGATACAAAAATAATGTTCTGAATGCACAATGAGTTTGCCACGATGCAAATTAAATTAAAAGTTGAACAATTACAAATTGAATATCGCAATGCAAAATAAAACTGACCAAATACACAAAACAAGTTATCATAATGCAAAATGAAAGTACAACAAGAAAGTCTACTGGTCAAATCTGCAGGAGGCTAGGAACAAAAATTTTAACCGGGTGTGAGGATGAAAGTTGCTTATTGCCTTGTACATTAAAATTAATACCAACTAACACAAACTAAAATGCAGGAAAGCCAAGAAGCTCCTAAAGACGAAGACAATTTAATCAAGAGGTATTTTATGCAAGGTTTGGCATATGAAAAAATCCTGCTTCTCTAAAGACAATATTATGATATTAATATGTCTTTTCAGATCACAGAAGTAACAGGTGGATGAATATCTTTAAAGATCTTGTTGAAACCGGTGTCTTGGATACATCTTCTGAGATGGAAAAAGGATGCTTGTGGTACAGTTTCTCTAATCTTTTGCAAAATGTCAACTTGGTTATGCCACACTGGAACTCTCACTATATACGAAAGTCAAGACTTGACACAGTTGAAGGACGTCCAGATGAACTGTTTTTTCTGCCCGAGTGTACACAGGCATTTGATCACCTCAAGCCAGTTTCTGATGAGCAACTTCAAGATATGATTCAATATTGTTATGAATATGAAGATGATAGTATTATTCAGGAATACTTCCAAACTGTTGGAGAAGAATTAGGTTTATCAAAACCAGAAAATTGGAGGCAGGCATTGGCTAGATATCATAGCTTGTGTAAGATTGCTTGGAGAAAAGATATTTCAGTTAGAACTACATAAAAATGCACAAGGTTTATTCAGTTAAAACATTTTCCAATAACTGTAAAAAGTGTAATATAGACAAAAGGCATGAGAGTGCCCATAATGTGAACACAATTACTTGCTTAATCAATGTTAAAAGTAAAGTATGATTAAAATAATGTTTCAGTTGCACACATTTTTTTATACTTTTGAAAAAATGACTGCATTCATCAATACAGTCAAGAGATAGTGCAATAGCTTGCCCTATTATGTGTCTGTGCACTTGGAATCATTTTCTTGTCACCATGAAAAAAAACAGTTGAAGGTTTTGGTTCAAAGCCAGTTAATGTTAACATGTGGCTGGGTGTTAACAATGGATCATACTTTTTTTCTTCTTATTTCTTCTTTCAGTTCATTTCTTTGTCAGCCAATTCTTTCAATAATGTACCTCCTAATTAAAAAAATTCTTCCTTCATTAAAACAAATACTTGTCATACAAATACAGTTGAACCTCTATGTTACATGATAGCAACTATATCATGTAATATCATTATTATATCATATCATAATTTCATGTATTATTAATTAGGACGTTATCTAGAAGCTTGCTTGCATTCAAAATGCCCCAAATGAGGACGAAGCAACAAATGATCCAGTCTCTTACTTTATGAAAGAAAATATTTTAATGCGTAAGTGGAGGCCTCCATCTGCTTCACCAAGTGACGAATGGTTGACTCGTACCCAAAATCTATCGAAATGATATTTTAAGTTTAGCACGTGATAATCCATTATCTGGACATTTAGGTGTCAACAAAACTTATGACAAAATCACACATCATTTTTATTGGCCAGGAATACGTAAGGACGTGGCTGAGTTTTGCAAGACATGTCATCCATGTCAAGTCATAGGAAAACTAAACCAGATCATTCCAAAAGCACCATTGAAACCAATACCGGCCTTTGAAGAACCATTTAGCCGTATTTTAATTCATTGCATTGGTCCATTACCAAAAACTAAAATGGGAAATCAATACTTAATTACTATCATGTGCGCTTCCACTCGATTCCCCGAAGCTATACCATTACGAAACATAAAAACAAAGACCATTATTCAAGCATTAACAAAATATTTTACGCTAGTTGGCCTGCCAAAGTCCATTCAGTCGGATCAGGGATCAAATTTTATGTCAACAATTTTCCAAGAGGTAATGCATGCGTTAAACATCAAAGAATACAAGTCCACTGCATATAATCCAGAGAGCCAAGGTGCACTTGAGCGATTTCACCAAACATTAAAAAACATGATACGCACATACTGTTTTGCAATTGAAAAAGATTGGGACGAAGGTGTTCATTTTCTTTTGTTTGCAGCTAGATCATTAATACAAGAATCCTTAGGTTTTAGTCCTTTCGAGCTTGTTTTCGGTCACATTGTACGGGGACCACTTAATATTTTAAAGGATGAGTTACTTGATGACGGTGGTGAATCATTGAATGTCTCAGAATATGTTTCTAAGTTTCGAACTAAACTGTCAAATGCATGGGATTTAGCAAAAGATAACCTTATGTCAGCTCAAAAATGCATGAAACGCCAATACAACAAGATTTCTACCAGTCGTACTTTTCAACCGGGAGATAAGGTTCTTGCATTACTTCCTGTTTCTGGGAACACTCTTCAATCGCGTTACTCTGGCCCTTATCTTATTGAAAAGAAAGAGAATGAATACAATTATGTAATAGTCATCCCTGATAGACGTACGGCAAAACAACTTTCTCATGTAAATATTTTAAAACCGTATTATTAAAGAGAATGTACCGAGGGAAAGAATGATGTAGGAGTGGTAACCACAGTTGAGACAGAAACAAATAATAGTTTAAACAATAACAATGATGATGGAATAGAACTCTACAATCTGTCTGAGTCGACCAAACTACACAATTCCGATGTCCTACAAAATATGAAATTAAAACTTGGTCATCTTGACAAAGGAAAACGAAAAGACATAGAAACTCTTATAGCCAACTTTCCAGAACCAACTACCAAGAAACATGTCATGCGTTTTCTAGGTATGGCAGGATACTACCACAAGTTTTGTCCAAATTTCTCTTCAGTTGCTGAACCATTGACGAAATTATTACAAAAGAACGTTAAATTCTTCTGGACAGAACAATGCCAGTTAGCTTTTGATCAGTTGAAAGCAATGTTGCAAAGCTCACCCATATTATCTGCACCAAACGTTTCACGTCCATTTAAACTAGCAGTTGATGCCAGTGTTACAGCTGCCGGAGCAGTGTTACTACAAGAAGATGACGAGGGAATAGATCATCCAGTTTGCTACTTTTCCCGAAAATTTAATGAAAGCCAACGAAACTATTCCACCATCGAAAAAGAATGTTTAGCTCTTGTCCTTGCACTTCAACAGTTCAACGTTTACGTCTCATCCACCAACACACCCCTGATTGTATACAGCGACCACAACCCATTGGTATTTCTGCATAAATTACGTCAAAAGAATCAACGACTTTTACGATGGACTCTTATACTGTCGGAGTACAACATAGAAATCCGTCACATCAAAGGACGTGACAACGTCATTGCAGATTGTCTTTCAGGACCGTAGGACATTATTACATTGCGACTTAAAAGAAAGCACTTGTGTGCTTTCTTTTTCTCCAACAGCGAGGGTGTTACATGATAGCAACTACTATCATGTAATATTATTATATCATATCATAATTTCATGTATTATTAATTAGGACGTTATCTAGAAGCTTGCTTGCATGCGCTAGAAGCTTGCTTACATGCGTAAACATATTTTAGAACTGCAACCGCATTTGTTGTTATTGTGGTTAACTATATGTTGCTGTAACGTTCTGTATTGCGTATGGGATGTAGGTCACAAAACCACAATACTTCAACAAATTCACCAAGTTGACTTTAATACAGCATAAAAATAGAAACATTTGTGTTTGATCTGTAACACATTTAAATAATGAACTCAACAGTCTCTTTCATTTTTTCTTAATGAAACATGGTTTTTCTTCATCCAGCAAAGCATATTGAGCCTTGCGTATTTTGTTTCTCAACCAAGTCAAGGAAATATTGCCCCTTGAGCGTATAAACACATGGAATCTCAAGTCCGTAGCCAGCTCCGCTATTTGTTCGTTTTCCCTTAACTGTAGCACTTACAGAGTTAGATGCACGCTTCAAAAATTCGCTCACATACTTATCTATGTTTTTGTGTATATGACCGACAATATCAACACTTTCATTAACTGTATTGACATGGGATACGACGTTTGTTTCTGTTGATCCCTGTGATGATTTAACATTTGCCACAGCATATGAATCTTTTTTGTTTTCTGGTAACTCATACTTTTCGTTTATTTTTGGTTCCCAAATACCCATATATTCATGGTATCTTCGTATGAATGATTCTACGTTAATTCAAGTGTCCATTTTTTCTTTGCATGTGTTTATAACATACATGGAGGAAGTTGAATAGCGCCAACAAATATAATTAACAGTGCAAAAGCCTGCTAAAATACGAAAAACAAGAAGCAAAAAGACAAAGATGTTAGCTCATCCAAAGCTCACACTTGTTTAAGCATTGATGACAAAGTTGTACTTATAATATATCATGAAAGTTATCCAAAGCTAGGTGTCAGAAAAGTGGCAGAAAAATTTAGTTGTAGTCGAATGCAGGTTTCAACAATTCTCAAGAATAAAGAATCCATTCAGGTTGAGGCGAGTCGCATAGCTACTCAGGCTAGTCAGAAAAGGCAAAATCCACAGAAATTTTCTGACATAAACGAATATTTGTGGACATGGTACAATCGCTGCAGAGAAACTAATGTTTCTGTGAGTGGTCCCATGCTGCAAGAAGAAGCAAAACTCACTGCCCAACATCTAGGTGATAATGAATTTCAAGGTTCAAACGGATGGCTTGAGAAATGGAAGAAAAGGTACAATATCAAGGAAATGAGAATCGCTGGTGAGGACGGTGATGTCAATGAAGCTACGCTTAATAGCTGGCAGGAGCGTATCAGGGTGTTGACAAAGGGATATGGGCATGAAAATGTGTAGAATATGGACGAGACTGCTCATTTCTGGAAAGCACTTCCAAAAAACGTCTTTCTGAAGCAGGAAAAAGATGTCGAGGAGGAAGAAAAGTAAAACAACAGTGCACATGGGCATTCTTCCTTAATGCCGCTGGTGATAAGAGCCTATTGTAATTGGCAAGAGCAAAAAGCCACGATGCTTTCAACACAAAGGACAAAACTAAACCATACAAGTGCTGCTATTTTGCTAACTCAAAAGCATGGATGAAGACTGAGATTATGAATGATGTATTGACTAAATTGAATGGACAAGTAAAACGTGAAGGCCGAACAATCATACTGTTTCTTGACAATGCACCCTATCATCCGCATGAACTTAAAGGTCAGTTTTCGAATAGCTGTCTTACCTTTTTGCCAAAAAATACAATATCAATAACACAGCCTCTAGATGCTGGAATTATTAAATTGTGGAAGGTGAAATCTAGGAGAAAGTTGCTTCGCTTTTTATGTAACAATGTAGGTCAAGAAAATGCAAGTGAGATTGTGAAGTCTGTTCATCTTCTTCAGACTATTCAATGGGGCAAATAAGGTTGGGATGAGATTGACTCTGAGACAATTCAAAAATGTTTTGCAAAGTTGGGAATGTATGAAGAAAAATTAAGCAATAATGACGATGATGACCCCTTTCAAGGTTAAGAGATGATTAATTTGAACGAACTATGCTCAATAATTAGCAATGTCTGCTGTGCTTAGCAATACATTGATGCAGACAACTATGTCCCATTCTGCAATAGTTTGATCAACATCAAAGATTCCAACTGGTGGGTAATATTAAGAACAGAGCTCTTGAACGAAACAAGCTCCAGTGGGCAACATTCAAAGCTAAAAGACCTTGACAACGACAAAGGCGCCTTTGAACAAGAAGGTGATGATTTCAACGTGCGTTTAAAAGAACCCAAAATTAAAACAACTGCCATAGCTGCAACTGTAGCAGAAAAACTTCTAGATTCTACAAATTTCAGGGGCAAGAAAGAACTTTCCCAAGCTGTACTAAAAGTTAATGACATTCTTACTGACATGTGTGTTGCAGGAAGAAAGCATGTTCTCATCACAAATTTTTCAAACCATCTTGCTCAACTAAATAGTCTAATGTCTATAACGGCAATATAAATAGTAAATTAGTTATGTTTACATGTTATCTAGGGAAACAAAGGTTTTATCGTGCGTTTTTTGACTTAATATTAGCTATCAAAGTATATTTATCATTCAAAACATTTAAAGAATTGTGTTCCAACAAATACGTCATTTATCTACAGTTACGTCATGGATCTAAAATTAGCAAACCTCTTGTAAACAGACACCTCTCGTAAGCAAACACCAAGTCCTGGTTCCGAAGGTGTTTGCTTACAGGAGGTTCTAGTGTACACATTATCATGGAAATGGAGTTGATTAATAATTAACTTATTTTATAAGGGCAGTGGTTCATGAGTCAAAATAGATTAGGAAACACAGTATGTAAATATTACTTAAGCATGAGAAGTTACTGGCTTAGCAATTTGTAATGAACTAAATTAGAGCAGCAATTAAAAAAAGAAAAAGCATGTTTAACCTTCTGCTGCCTTCAGCAATAAAATAAACTTTGCAATCACCTTTCCTCTGATTGCCTCTTTATATTTCCAGTTGGTGCTAAATTTGGTTTTAAAATTTTCAGCAGCTTTTCCACACACAGTTTATCATCTGGGTCAAACATGAAAATGTGTGATGCCATGCCTTTATGTGCTCTATATAGGTCAAACACCAACACAAAAAAATTTTACCACATTTGTAGCAAACTAGTCAAAAAATGATTTGAAATAGAATACAGAGCTAGATATTGGCAATTAGCAATTTCAGATGATAAACAACTCATTACTCAACACTAACATTGTAATATTTCAATCCATATCGAGTAGCTGATGAAGCATCGGCGTGCATTTGATCACAACAAAGTATTCTATGACTTCTTTCAAAAATTGGTCTTTATTTACTAGTATAAGAGATGATGGTAGACTATCAATCTCAACCCGCCATTCTGAACAGTCTGCAAAGGCATTGTTTATGTTGGGTGTAGTGATGAGCTAATCAAAGAAAAATCACATTTGCCAATTTCATATAAAGACATATCGGCCGATTTATCGGTAGCAACGTTGAAAATTGTGGTGAAATGCAACCAAAGCAAAAAATTAGTGTTGCAAAAAATGTCAAGTAAATAACCCCCAAATTCTATAAGTTTGTATAAATAAAAATGAACTTACTAAATTCATAAATTCATGTCCTTTTATGTTTTGAATCTAATTAAATAGATTTGCAAACACAGTTTACATTACTTTCAAGTAGTATAAAATACACAAAAGCAATTAGAACATGGCGTGTTATCATGTAAGTTTGAAACATGATTTGCCAAATTTTGTAAAATTACTTTGATTAGATCGTAAATTTGATACTTTCGAGGACCAGAATCTCTCTGAAAAAATCATTCTGCTCTTGATCATTGAAAACAAACACTTACAAGTTTTTAGAACCAATTTTTGCAGCTCTAACTTTATCTATCGGATGCCGGTTTATGTCAATAAGATTTGCCGATAACCGATATGCATAAGAATGGCCATTATCGGCTTTTAAAAACCAATTACCGATAATC